TGACTGAACTTATCTTATTCTTGTCCCTGTGTAAACTTAATTTGACCAACTATGTTGTGAAATGGATTTGGTTGTCAACTGATTTTATCTTGCCTGTCAACTGAATTTTAAGTGCAATGGATTTGGTTTTCAACTGTAATATGTTGTCAAATGATTAGAAGAGACATGTTGTGTTGCTGTCTAAATGAAGAAGTAACATAACACCATTGGTACATAACTCCAGTCTTCATATTATTTGATCAGTTATCCATTACAACCATCACAACATGCAACCATTACAACCATCAAAGCATGCATCCAAACCCAAAACAAGTACTTAATCTACTTAGTGTGCTCTGCTCACTGATTTCAGTACATCTCACTTCTTCATGACTACTATGAAACACAACACACAAAGCAACATAACAGCAGCCATCACCAGCTTCAGCAGCAGTAGAATTTCTCTACCTAATCCAAGCAGCATAGCAACTTGCTACTTGGTAGCAAAGTTCTTCTCACTAGGGGTGCCAAATGACCCAAAATCAACTCTGCCAGCACCTCTCCCAGCCATGCCTCTTCCAGCTATGCTTCTTGTGTTCATTGCTTCAGTCCTCTTCCTCTCAAGCTCCTCCCTTTTATCCTCAGCTCCTCCTATTGCATCCACAGCAGCATCACCAACAAGAACCCTATGTTCAACAAGATGCTGCACATATTCTAGCTCCCAATGCCAGAAATCACAGGTGACCTAAAAAACAGAGAAACAAAGCATTTTCAGTTATCTGAAAAAGTTCAGTTAAGTATAAATTTCAATTAACTACCACACAATCTGACAAAACCTAATGCTAGTTAACTACCAAATTGCAGTACAAACCTAATGCTAGTTAACTAAGTTCAATCTGACAAAACCCTAATGCAGCCTTACAATTCAATCTGATGCAGAAACAGTGAAGAAAGGATCTACCACACAGGTAGAGGAACTTGACCTGGTGTTTGCTGCACCTGTAGAAGACCCACCCCTCGTGCTCGTCCGTGCCAGAGCGGTAGAACTTCACCTGCTCGCCACAATCCGGGCACGGGATCAAAGGAAGGACAACGGAGCGGCCATGTAGCCCAGATCGAGCAGAGCTCGAAGAAGACATGAGGAGAGAGGGCGGCGGCAATGTCTGCGGTGGTGGAGAGAGAGCGACGGCAATGGCTGCGGCGGCGGCGGCGGAGGGAGGCCAGTGGGCTAGGGTTGGGAGAGGGCAGCGGGTGGGCTCGGTCCACGCGGGTGGCTCGATCCGACCAGGTGGGTGAGGAGATCTTTTGTTCTGCCAAATTTGCAAAAAAAAAACCTGGTTGCCTGCGTATTCGAGCGAGCCAAACGCATGTGGCAGTCAGCGCCCGCGTGGCAGCCGTTGACTGAGGCCAGCTCAGGGCGTACGTATGGAAAAACGTATTTTGGACCATACATGACCCCCTAGAGCAAATATGGTGATCGTATTGCGGGTATTTTTAACTACAGGAACCAAAGCTAACGCCACTGCAAGTTTAGGGACCTGTCATGAATTTTTCTTTTGTGGAAATATATGTGCCATCGGAGAGCCCTACGTGTTGTCTACGTAAAAGTTTGGTAAAACTAAGTCAAGTCAATAATATCGTACTATGCAGCTATCCATGGATAACGAGTCAAAAAGGGAAGCGGCTAAAGGAAAAAAAATCAAGCTAAGAAGACCTAAGACGAATATCAAAGTGTGCAGCTTGATCGATCTTTGAAGCAAGCCGGTTTTATTTTAAGAGAAACTACAAGCAAACCGGTTCTGGTGTGCACAAGAAACTATGCAGTGCATCCAGCTCGATCCATCTCGGAAGCAAACCGGTTCTGGTGTGCACAAGAAACTATGCAGTGCATCCAGCTCGATCCATCTCGGAAGCAACCCGGTTTTATTTAGAAACTGCAAGCCGGTTTAGTGTGTACAGGGACCTTCTGTTTTTTTCCTCTCTGGCTCGACTTTTCATAAGTGTGCAGTCGCAGCAAGCAAGTTTGAACATCTTAATGTGGCCGAGAAACCAGGGACTATGAATGTACTTCCTCCGTTCCTAAATATAAGTCTTTGGAGAGATTTTACTATGGATCACATACGAAGCAAAATGAGTGAATCTACATACAAAATGCATCTATATACATCCGTATGTGGTCCATAGTGAAATACCTATAAAAACTTATATTTAGAAACGGAGGGAGGAGTATGTATCATGCCTAGAGTCAGTCGTTCTCAAATTTTAATTTGTTTCCACCCTTCCGCGACCAAGTCTAGCCAGATGGTCATTTTTAACTGACCAAATTATGAGAAGCTAATTGTGTGGCTCATGAGCTAGCTCAGTATAGTTTCTTAAACAAAGTTTCTTGTAACTGGGACGATGACCCCCCCTAGCTGGTTATTTGCTTCTCTTGTGATGGATGTATCCTTTGCTAAATAATCAATAAAACTAGCAATGAAGCCCTTTCCTCGAAAAGAAAACAAGAACTAACAAAATCATGTATCCCATCGCTGAGTACCTCTTGGATTCTTGGGCACATTTTTTAGGCAGATTCTTGAGCACATTTTTTTAGGGGAATTCTTGAGCACACATATGGCAAGTTTTAGAACGTTGTTTTCATGTGGCGCACACAATTAAGGGAAGAAGGCCCTACATAAATAAGCCCTTTAGGTGCAACGTTCGGCGGGCTGGTCGCTGGTCCACTACGGACCCTATCATGGACCGATCACGGCATCACTATGTGTGCATTCACCGTTCACACTATCCAGTGATGGTATTCCACAAGATAAAATCAGAAGTGAAGGACATTGTTGGAGCAAAATTGCTTTATCCATGACACTACACGCACGATCTGCGAACGATGCATCCCTCATCCCTCCCCAACGATGCATCCATGCACGCTTGTTGGAGGCTGGCCAGAGAGCCTCGATCTCCAGTCCGCAAAGAGTGAAGAACATCGACAAACCAGCCACGCCAATAACCATGTGCAACGGAGCAGGCTGCATATGAAAAATAGGAGAGAAATGACCGCTAATATTTTACTCCCTCCGTTCCTAAATACTTCCTCCGTTCGGAATTACTTGTCGCGAAAATGGATGTATCTAGATGTATTTTAGTTTTAGATACATCCATTTCCGAGACAAGTAATTCCGAACGGAGGGAGTATAAGTCTTTGTAGAGATTCTACTATGAACCACATACAGTATTTTGTATATAGATGCATTTTAGAGGGTAGATTCACTCGTTTTGCTCTGTATGTGGTCCATGCTGAAATCTCTCCAAAGACTTACATTTAGGAACGGAGGGAGTAGATGATAGACATTAGACAGACATCAAGATGACAGGAAATGTAACAGGACTAACTGAACAGCTTGAAACCAGTTCATCAACACTGTTGTTACTGTTAAACGCTTAAGCCCATAGTATATCTCAAATGCACCATTGAAGTAACGGGCCTTAATCCCGACAAATAAAAAACGTAGGGCAAATGCGACAAAGATACCTGGAATCAGAATTGGAAAAATATACTCCCTCCGTCCGGGAATACTTGTCCTAAAAATGAATAAAATGGATGTATCTATAACTAAAATAAGTCTAGATACAACCATTTCAAAGACAAGTATTTCCGGACGGAGGGAGTACATTAGAGGCTTCATGCTTGTGGAAACATGGGAGCTTTGCGTGCCTGCTGCTGATCTGCTTAAGAAAAACATAATATTTGGTCAGCAGTAGACATGACTCCAGTGCATCGTGTCAGCAAAAATATTTTCACCAAACCAAACTCAACCATGGGAAATGAGGGCGACTCAATTGTCCGGGCATCATTGTTGAACTTGTGATTCAACAGCTCCTACGATCGATCTACAGTCAGGCCATTCGTTGTAGCTGAAAAAAAAACACATTGCCGTTACATATACAATGATGGCTCCAAGCAAATTAATTCATGAGGCCTCCATCCGGACAACACTAGAACTCATACAAGAAAAAAAAAATCACAATATCGAAGAAGAGAATCTTAGACCAGTGAACCGTTCCATGTCAGGTCGTACACTGACCGACGCGACGATCACTCTCTATCCAGCTCCTGCTGAAAAGTATTGAGTAGAACTCTTGGATTCTAATCTGGGCAGGCCGCAACGATCCTGTCCAGGGCACGAAGATAAAAACTGGAATGGTAACTATTCCTTCCATTCTTAAATATTTGTCTTTCTAAAGATTTCAACAACTGACTACATACGGAGCAAAATGAGTGAATCTACACTCTAAAATATGTCTACATACATCCGTATGTGGTAGTCCATTTGAAATGTCTAGAAAGACAAATATTTAGGAACGGAGGGAGTAGCTGACAAGGTTGACGGACTCGACACAGGTCTTCGCTCCATCTGCGGCCAAGCTTGAGATAAGGCGTGAGGGTTTAGACCAGGTGCAAGTGTGTGGACGTGATGGCGCTGTGGAAGTGATCTTAAACCACTGGGACCTCAGCCAGCCGAGCTGAGCATCCAGCATTCGAACACACACTTTATTTCCAGCTCACAAACCATGCAACAGCAATAAGAAAGGGTGCCGTTCTGTGCGATCCGGCCGAGCAAAGGTTCCCCACTCCCTCCTGCTTACTCTACTAAAACGTGTTAAATACATCCGTAACTAGACAATAGACTAGCTTTTTGAGACGGAGGTAATACTGTACTGTTTAACATCAAATTTGGGCGTCTGTCTTGCTGTCGATTTTGTATCAATTGTTGTGGGTGAGGCCGTCAGGCGTTAAACATTTCGGACAGTTTAACCCCTGTGCACTAAAAATTGGAATGGTTATCAGCATGACCTCTGTCCACATGAGTTCTCAACTTCTTTTCCCTTCCCATATACTGTGATTGTTAATCAGAGAAGGGTCACAAAGTCCAGCTCCATAGTTAAACTTAGAACCCACCGTGCTCATTTCTTCACGCCATGCAGGTAACGGGGGCCTCGTGGCTCCCAATCGACGTGCGAGACGCACCATGCTCCTGCTACTGACCTTGCTGCTCATTTCTGATGGAGTTGGCACTGCCACCTGCTCGACAGTCCCCGGTAACAGCACGGACATGCTCTGGTTGCTAGATTTCAAGCGGGCCATCACCAACGATCCAAGGCAAGCCTTGAGCTCTTGGAACGCCAGCACCCCCCATTGCAAGTGGGAGGGCGTCAACTGCTGCCTCACGCACCCAGGTCGCGTCACTGTGCTAAACCTCACCGAGCAAGGGTTGTCAGGTTCGATTTCCCCATCCCTTGGGAACCTGACGTTCCTTGAGACACTGGGCCTGTCCAGAAATAGCTTCACCGGCAAGATACCTCCTCTCGGACGTCTCCACAGACTGCAACAACTTTTGCTGAGTAAAAACTCTTTGCAAGGGATCATTCCTGCTACACTTACAAATTGTTCCAACCTAAATTCCTTAGACCTATCCGGTAACTCCCTGACAGGTGAAATTCCACTCAATATAGGCTTGCTCTCCAATTTGTCGTTTCTACAGCTTGCCAGAAATAATATCACCGGGACGATCCCACCAAGCCTGAAAAACATCAGTCAGTTAGCACTAATCAATCTTGCAGATAATCAGCTCATGGGCAGCATTCCTGATGAGATAGGACAATTTCCAAGTCTGCTTGGTTTGTTACTTAGTGGTAATATGCTATCAGGTAGAATCCCAACAACCGTGCTTAACCAGTCTTATCTACAAATATTAGACGTAAGTATCAATATGATAGGGAACACATTGCCATCTAATTTTGGTGATACCCTCCCAAGTCTCACATTGCTCTGCTTGGACTATAACAGGTTTGAGGGCCATATCCCAGCTTCGCTAGGTAATACTTCAGGGCTATCAACATTGGACCTATTATACAACAAACTGACAGGTCAAGTTCCAAGTTCACTAGGTAGGCTTGGAAAGTTGAACTATCTAAACCTTCAGACAAATCAGCTTGTAGCAAAGGATATCCAAAGCTGGGAATTCGTAGATGCGTTGAGCAATTGCAGATATCTGCAAGTTCTTGCACTAGGTGAAAACCAGTTACAAGGAGCTATCCCAAGTTCTATTGGTAACCTGTCAAGCAAACTTCAAGGACTAGGATTAGATGCAAACGATTTATCAGGGACAGTACCCACTAACATGGGGAATCTTAGTGGCTTAACAGTACTAGACTTATGTAGAAATAAGCTCAACGGTTCCATTGAAGGATGGGTTGGAAAGCTGGAAAATCTAACAGTTTTAGTTCTTGATGGGAATAAATTCACTGGCCCGGTACCAAACTCTATCGGTAATCTTGATAAATTGACGGATATCTATCTAGCAAACAATGAGTTTGAAGGTCCGATACCCCCCGGTATGGGAAACCTTAAGAGCATCTCCAGCCGTTTGCCCCCCAGGGCACCGAAAAACTGCGCCCTGGGGGCAAGCCGGCGCTAGTTCGGCCCCTGGGGGCGGCCTAGCACCCAGCCACGCCCCCAGGCGCCCCCCTCAGCCTTGGCGAATTCAAACGTAGTTCATTCCCTCGCCCAAAAATAAACGCCACAATCCGGCGATCAAGCGGCGATCGGCGATCGATGAAAAGTTCGGCGTAGAAAAATCAGAACGGAAGCGCGCATCAGACGGCGAGGTCGGCCTCTGGCGTCGGCGGTGTCGGCGTGCGCGGGCTTGACGGGTCCTCTGTGCTTGGCGGCGTGGTTTCTGCGTTGCGGGCAGTCTCGGCGGCATCGTCGGTCGGGGCATCATCGGTCGGGCTTGGCGGCGGCGTCGGCGTGTGCGTGGGCGTGGGCGGCGTCGTCGTGGGCGGCGTCATCGAGGGAAGCTGGTCCAGGATGAGGCCGACATGCGCCCTGTACCACGCCTTGACCGCCTCGTCGGTGCTCTGGAGCATGTCCGCCCCGCCCAGCAGGAAAGCCAGGTCGGTGTTCCTCTTCTTCGTGGCGACATTGGTCCGGAGTAGGTCGAGCTTGACGGTGCTTGTTGACATCAACGCTGACCACCGCGCCTCGGTCTTCTCTTCACGAAGGACGGCCCGGGCCTGAGCGTCGGTGAGGCAGTGCTGGATGGATTCCTGGACGCGGGCCGTGGCCGCGTCGGCGCTTGGCGCCTTTGTTGCCGCCGGGCCGCCCTTCTGACGCCCCCGGAGCCGGCGCGTCCGGCTTGTATGTCTCCTTGGCCTTCTCAAGGTTGCGCCGGACTTCCGCCCACTTGTCGCACTTGTTAATGCGCTTGTAGACGTGGAGGTATTTGAACTCGGCGTCGTTGTTGCTCTGCCTATACAGGCCGAATATGCGCAGCAACTGCGCGGGGACAAACAAACAGTTGGCGGGCGCGCGCACATGGCGAAGAGAGACGGGAGACCGGCATGTCATACCTGATCCTTAATGCTGGCGCCACTCTCCGGGCGAGCGGCCACCTCCTCGACGACACCATGACATTTGTTGCACGCCCCCTGGATGCGCTCCCAATGGTTCGCCATCGCCTTCGCCTCGCGCTGCATGTAGACGCCTTTGAAGTAGGGGTTGACGAGCTTGCGCTCGTCGAACTCGGCCTTGATGCGCGCCCAGTACATCTCGATGCTCTGGTTCGCGCCGGTGGTCGGGTCGAGGCAGACGACATTCCATGCCTCGGCGAGGCATTCCTCCTCCTTGGACGCCCACTTGATGCGCGGCTCGGCTGACCTGGCCGTCCGTTTCTTCTTCTTGCGCCTCCTCGCCGGCTCCTCCTCGTCCTCCTCCTCCTCCTCGTCCTCTTACTCCTGCTCCTCCTGCTCCTCATCGTCGTAGACATAGCCGAGCTCGCCGTCCATGCCGCCACTGAGATCCACCGCCTCATCCGCGGTGAACCCGGGAGACGCGGCGGCCGCGGCCGATCCCTTCGCGATGATGCCGTCCATGTCGGCCTTGGTCTCGTCGGCGTCGCCGAGGTGCGAGAAGGGCAGTGCGCAACGGCGGAGAGGAGGTGTCGGGGAGGACGCGTACGCGGGCGGTAAGTAGTTGTATGGAGGGTACTGCACGCCGGTGAAGGCGGACGAGGGCGTGCGCTGGGCCGGGTGTCAATGGGGGAACGTGACATTTGGGTTGAACCCACCGTGTACGTCTCCGTCGGCGTAGCCCGGCGATCCCCATGGCTGCGGCGTCGGAGACCCGACACCTTGCTGGCCCCATGGCGCGTACTACGCGTGGTTGCCGGGGGGATTCATCATCCCCGTGCGTGTCGCCTCGGCCTGGTCTGCGGAAGCGGCAGCGGCAGCGGAAGCCGCGCACGCCGCATTGTCGCGGGCCTTCTTGGCGAGGGCCCCGTTCCGCCGGTCGGCGGTGACGGCCTCCCGTCGATGTACTTCTACCCTCCAATCGGCGTTTGTCATGCCCGGCGGCTTTGACGGCGGCGCCCTTGGCTTCCTCTGCTTCGGCTGGGCGATGTTGGCGGTCGCGGTCGCCGCGGCGTGGGGAACGACGTACTTCTTCAGTGGCATGGCGGCTGAATGGGAGGCGAGCGGGAGAGAGAATGGCGGGAAGATAGAAGAAAATGGGAGGGAACGGGGGGGAAAGCGGGGAGAAACGGCGGGAAGAGGGCGCTCGGCTCGCTGACAGGGCGGACCCACGTGCGCCTTTTCGCTTGTGCCGGCGCTCCAGGCGCCCCCCAGGGGGCCGGGTTCTGCCTAGGTCCGCCGGCACCAAATTTGGCCCGAGCAGGCGAAAAACGGGCTTCTGGGGGGGCGACTGGGCCGTTTTTTCGGCGCCGGCGCGACAAAAACGCCTGGGGAGGGCCTGTTGGGGGCGCGGCTGGAGATGCTCTAACATGCTCAGAACGTTGAACATTAGTTATAACAATCTACAGGGTAACATTCCTAGGAAGATCTTCCACACTGGCTCCACACTGACCATATGTGCATTATCCTACAATAATTTACAAGGAACAATACCTACAGAGTTCAGTAATCTTAGGCAGCTAGTTGAGCTGCATCTTTCATCCAACAAACTTTCTGGGGAAATTCCTGGTGCTTTAGGTGAGTGTCAAGAGCTGCAGATCATCCGAATGGACCAGAATATTCTCACAGGTGATATTCCGGAGTCTTTGAGCAATCTGAAGAGCTTGGTGGTGCTCAACTTTTCACATAACAGTTTGTCCGGATCCATTCCAACATCACTAAGTGACCTGAAATATCTGAACCAGCTAGACGTCTCTTACAACCATATACATGGAGAAATACCAAGGAATGGAATATTTGAAAATGAAACGGCTGTTTCTCTCAATGGGAATTGGGGACTTTGCGGTGGAGCAGTAAATCTTCATATGCCCACTTGTTCTACTATCTCCCAGAGAAAAGAAACACTGTACTACTTGGTCAGAGTATTTATCCCTTTGGTTGGCTTCGCCTCACTCATATTGTTAATTTACTTTGTACTCCTGGAGGGCAAGACGCCAAGAAGAACATACTTACTGTTGCTGTCTTTTGGCAAGCATTTTCCTAGAGTTACCTACGGGGATCTAGCTCAAGCTACACAGAGCTTTTCTGAGTCAAACCTGGTTGGAAGAGGAAGCTATGGTTCAGTATATAGAGGAAAGCTAACTCAAGCAAAAATACAAGTGGCTATTAAAGTTTTTGACCTCGATGTGAGATACGCAGACGATAGATGATGATGGTAATGCTTTCAAAGCTATAATTTATGAGTTCATGCCAAACGGGAATTTGGACACGTGGTTACACACAAAATCTGCTGGTGAAGGTCCAAGGATTTTGAGCTTAGGGCAAAGAATAAGCATCGCTGTTAATATCGCTGATGCATTGGCCTACTTGCACCATGATATCACAAGATCCATTGTCCATTGCGATTTGAAACCCAGCAATATCCTCCTGGACACTGATATGAATGCATATTTGGGTGACTTTGGCATTGCAAACCTCGTTCGTAACTCAAAGTCAACATCAAGTTCAGCCTCAACTTCAGATAGCTCAATTGGATTGAAGGGAACTATAGGATATATTGCTCCAGGTATTCACCTCCACATCATATATTTGTGTGAGGCTTAATTGTCTGAAAATTAACTTTTTAGATTTATATGGCACTAATCACTTTCATTTCATATGTTTTCAGAGTATGCTCAAACTGGACAAGCATCAACCTATGGGGACGTTTACAGTTTTGGAATAGTTCTTCTAGAGATGCTGATAGGTAAAAGACCAACAGACCCTATGTTTGACAATGAACTCAACAATGTCAATTTTGTGGAGACGAACTCTCCAGATCATATACTGCATATCATCGATGATCATCTCCAAGAAGTGTGCAAGGGATTCACTCATACGACAGTGGAAGCAGGAAACATAGTATATCAGTGGTTGGTGCCCCTTGTGCAAGTAGCTCTGTCATGCACACGTCTGTTCCCAAGAGAGCGAATGAACATGAGAGAAGTAGCCATGAAATTGGA